CGTATTTACATTGAACCTTATGGGAAAATTTGATTCGGGTCGCGACCAATTTGGGTCACGAGCAGAGTCGCGGAATGAATTAAGTTCGTGACCTGAGGTAACACTGTAGTTAAGAGCAAGAACAGCACAGAAAAACGGTAAAAAAAATTGATTCTGATAGAAGTAAAAATGTTTTGGAAACGTGAAAAGAGCTGAACGAGGAACCTTTGTAGAGTGAATAGACTTAAAAATGAATAAATGATTTTAGAGGAATCTGGAGGAAGGAATGCTGGAAGAAATATTAGAGGTTTAAAGGGAAATGGTAGTGCTGTGTCAAACAGTAGAATTGAAATGAGTGCTGTAAATGCTAGTGTTAGAGAAAAATTGATGAAAAGGAAATAATTCTGTATTAATATTGAAAAATAGTATGGCTGCAAGTATAGATGGTTTAACTGGAGAAATATTAAAATATGGGTGTGGCTGTGCAACTTAACAGGTATGTGAAGACTTTGTTGGTTGAGGATATGAATCTGTTTGTACTTCTGTATGCAAATGATGCTGTCAATGGCTGAAAAGCTACATTATTTACAGTGAATGTTAGATACATATATTTTATGCAACAAGGAGTATGGATCTGAAAATTAATGCATCAAAAACCCAGGTTGTTGTGTTTTATAAGGAAGATGGAGTGAATGATTGCAAGTTACCCATAATAGTTTAAAAAAGAGCAAATATGCAAATTAGTATACTTCTGTAGAATGTTTACCGAAAATAAGAAATTTTAAGGTACGTAAATGCTGGTAGGAAGATCATGGATAGTATGTGGATCTCTTATGAGGAATGAATGTTGAAAGAAGCAAAAATGGCTGGGTATAAGAGGATGCTTCTGCCCTTTCAAGAGGGAGTGAGAGTAGAAGATACTAAACAAGACACTGATAAAAAGGAGCCTAATTGATATATTGTGCCCTGCATATGGGCACACCCAGTTATTTGAAAGACTTATTGGTGGATCATGTACAGTACCTGTGTGGTTGGTTCTATAGTAGAACAGAGTGTTCTCTCACGGGGTCTGGTTCTTTGGAATAGAGTCCCACCAGGATAATGCTTGGAATTTGATCATTTGAAATGGAAATTCAATGTAATTGAATTTACATTTCAAATGATCAACTTGAATGTAATTCTTACCTGTCAGTTTGAATATATGAACGATGCTATTATTATATGTCATGGAACTTTTACTATAGAGGCTCATTATTTTATATTATGATGTTTTATTTTATTGTAATGTATTATTGTATCAACAGAGCCAGTTTGGTATTGTGGTGAAGGCATTAGGCTAGAAACTGGGAGTATCTAGCCTGATGAAAAACTTAAGAAGAAACAATATAATACTTGTGAGTTCTAGTCTCCCCCTTAGGCATGAAGCCAGATGAGTGACCTTGGGCCAGTCACTCTCTCTCAGTCCTAGGAAGCAGCCAATGGCAAGCCACTTCTGAAATCTTGCCAAGAAAACTGCAGGGACTTGTCCAGGCAGTCACCAGGAGTCAACATGACTTGAAGGCACATCCACACACACATTATTGTATCAACTGCTTCTTTCTGTACTGCATTTAGTAATAAATACATAATAAATAAAATGAATACCACTTCATAATGGGATAGTTAAGAAATGTGATAAAACAAGAAGAGAGAGGGTCAGGTATGAATGGGTGCTGAATGAATGTGGACTAAGTACAACAGTAAGTAACTTGTATGAAAAAAAAGTTTTCATTGTGGTGGTTTGTTAGTACAGAGAAAATGAATGTGTATCAAATCGCAAAATAAATATATAAAAGAAGAATGAAGGGGTGAAGGGGAAATTGTGGTTGGCTTGAGAGTTGAAGTGATCCTCAGAAAAAGAAGTGAATTAATCTATAAATATAGTAAAAGCAAGGAAGGTCTAGAGAGTATAATAAATAGTATAGTGTAATCCAGATCTAGTTGGGTGTGTTTTTTTTTAAACTGCTTTTAATTTATTTTGCTTACTGTTACTTTTTTCTTGATTTGCATAATTTGCTTACCCTGAGAGACAATAGCATGATTAGTATATGTGTGTGTATGTTTCTGCATAAGTCAAGTCTGTCAGATCATTGTCAAATCACAATCTGTAATATGTTAGAATTTCTTTTTTTTTTTAGATGAGGGGGACTAATAAAAATGAATGCTTTTTGAAACAGGAAAAGCTGTAACTAGGAAAAAGTACATCGGCATTCGAATGATGTCTCTCACTCAGAGGTAAGTTTTAAAACTACAGCAGTTCCTCTCTGAACAGTGGCTATTTATTAATTCTTTGATAATGTGGATCCAATGAGCCAAACTATAAGTGACCTCCCATGGTTGGTTGGTTTTCTTTAAAACTAAATAGCAGGCCCACTGAGGAAGCAACAGTAGGGGAGAAATATTTTACTGCTGCTAAACTGCTACTTTAGGCTTATTTTTTTAATGGGTGACCACAGTAGCATTTAAGGATGGGCAATAAGATTTCTCCTTTTCTGAGTGTATTCCAATGCTTCTGATTTCTCTTGATCTCTCACTATCTCATCTTTATCTTCTTTAATGTTACCTGACTAAAATTATGGTTAGCACAGTTATCCAGATCTTTTCTTTAGAATCCAAGAAAGGGTGGGGCACACATGCAGGTGTAGAACTTTCAGAAAAGTGGGTGAATCCCATAGTCCACTCCTATTCCTTTAAATACTAGCTAATATCCAAGGTAAAATTGAGTCTGAATTGACTGAAACTGCATATACAATCACATTTCATGGACATTAGAAACCAGGTGAGCATAGTGCAGTAGGGTAAGTTATTTTATGTAAAAGGATTTCTCACATGATTTCAATGAATTAGGGAATATCAACAAAACTTTGTATTTTAAGGTTTATGGTTTAATAAGCAGCTAGAAAAACTTAAGAAGAAATTGTAGAATTAGCTGCTTGACAGATGGTAACAATATCATACTCGATTCTATAAGTTTTCTCCACAGCAAAGAGACTGATGAAATAGTCATAACAATCACACTCAAACAAAGGAAACTTTTCAATCAACTCAAGAATAGAAAATAAAAAAGAATTCCACTTCCCAAAGTATGTTTGGCAACTGAGAAATTAACAAAATACAGCCATTTCATGTCATATATATGTATCACAGGTAGGGCTGAGTCAAAGATCAATATAGTTGGTAATTTATAAAGTTTATAATATACCAGTGGTCCCCTCCCATCTGCTTTTTTTTAACCATCTCTCATAGAAGTAGCATATCTGAGCTGCAGAAATCCAGAGGACCACTAGATGGCACCAGGGAGATACTGAAAGCTCTTTTTTTGCCCAGATATGGTAGCCCTAGTCTATTACTGAAACCTGTTTTTTCACCCAGCCATCACTGTGGCACAGGCAATGTTGACGTGAAGGAGGAGCAGTAGATGCCATTTCTTGCTTGCTCATACCTAGCAAGCAAACAAGTGATAACAATTAGGTAGCAGGAGGAGCATAAGTAACTGGGAACACTGTTGTGAGATCCTAAATATGCTAATGCTCTTGTTTGAAGGCTTTCCATATCCTGAAGCCTGCACTGGATAAAACCAACCTTATTATATTTTAGTATTTTACATAAGCCATTTTAGGAATCTTTCTGAATGGAAGGAATATATTACAAGAATGTAATCATAAGTTAGTATCTGGGTGTGAGTGCTTCTCCCATTAGGTCTCTCAACCATGGGTGTTCTTTACTTTTTATTTTCTGTGTTTTGCTTATTTGTGGCCATGGTGCTGTTTCATGGACCTCTGGATTTTAGGTGAGCAATGGAGTTTTTTTTTGGGGGGGGGGGG